CTGATGGATGAGTAACATTCACTATTAAGTCATAATAGATTACTTCTGTCATGGCCAGATTGAAGATTGTAATTGTTTCTCTTTATGAATTAGAGAAGATTAATAAAAATAAAATATATGGAAACTGATTGTACTCAAGTTATCCCTAATTGATAAAAAGTGAAAGTTGTTATCAAGTGGGTTGCTTTTATTCATGAAACATGTTCTTGAGCAAGACTGGTGCAAATATGAATATGGATGACTTACAAAAATCATCCCTTCTCTGCTCTTTCTGATGTTTCCTGTCCATGGTACAGCTCCAAATAAGGGTCCATTCGGCTCAGGTTCTCTGGTTATCATCCTCACAATCCAGCACTTATGATTTCTAACAACTTGGATTCTGTAAACAACCAATAGCAATACACTCTCAAGTGACCTCCTTTATCACTGCTTCCTGAACTTGATACAGTGGCTTTGCTGAGGACCTCTCCCATAGTTTCAGACTTCAAAAAGTGTAAATACTAGTCAGTTCTTCAAAACAGTCCTGAGACCAGTACATGACAATTGGTGGAAGGTAATTTATGCTTGCAAAAGTGAAAATGCTGAAGTAAGCCTTCATCTCGTGATTCATTGTGTCCTTCCTCAATACAAACTTTATCGACATTCTGATAAATGGCTTTTCAATGCCAATTTACAAAAACTAAAAACGTTGACAAATATTTAAAAGAATCATCTTTCAATCAACTTTCCACTTCAACTTTCAATTTTATAATTCATCGATAAATTTCAGTATCAAGGTAGACTTGAGCTTCTTTTTAAAAGTAGTAATATTTACAATACATTTTAAAGAAGTGTCTAAAGAGTTCCAAATTTTAGTTCTGTATAAGATGCATTCTTTATTTCCAGATGTCGTTTGATGGGTAGCCACTTGAACTCATGAAAAATAGGAGTGATATGATCATACTTACGTGTGCCAAAAGTAATTCTAGCTACTTAGTTTTAAATTAATTGTACCTTTTTAAAATTAGCATCTGTGGTAAGTAAGTAAGGACTTTATTTATAGAGGGGGACACGTAACAGCTGTATAGCTGACAAACCTGTGGCCCTCTTACTAGATTATACAACATCAGAAAAAACTGAAAAATAAAGATATAAATAATTACAAAATGATTAAAAATATTAAGAAAGATAAAATTAATTTATAAAAAATTAAAATTAGATGTTCTGTTGCTTAATATTGTTTAAAGTTGTCCAGCTTTTTAAATGAGCTTATAAGATGCTTTTTGACAGCTGTTTTGAAAAGTTTTACACTAGGCTTATTTTTGATATCATGGGGAAGGCTGTTCCATAACTTATCTGCGTAAACACTGAATGCCTTGCCACCATCGTTATTTCTTAGATATTTGAGACACAGTAAATTTAAATTGCCATGTCTAGTAGATCTATTATGTACAGAACTGTTCGTCTTGAGCAAGTCTCGGATGTTAATCGGAACATCGCCTTTAATGCTCTTAAAAATGATTGTACATTTATTTCATTTGATTTATCAAAAAAGGGGAACCAGCCTAGTTTACTAAAAGTTTACAACACTTCTAGAATAAAAGTCCACTCCAAGACTCAGGCAGCCCTTTTCTGTAACCTTAGGAGACAGTGGAGTTCTTTAGCGTCACAGATATTCCAAACCATGCTCCCGTACATAACTACGGGTTTAATCAAGGTGTTATAGTATAAGAGTCTTTCCTTTATTGGAAGGTATCTCTTTATCTTTTTCAATAAACCAATACGCTGAGAAAGCTGGCCTTTAGGCTAGAAATGTGGTCACTAAATGTAAGATCT